AGCCCCTTCTGTCCTTTCAAGAGCCAGATGTTTGTCTTTTTTTTTTCCTGAACTGGGAGCTGATCTTTCTCCCCCCCCCCCCAAAAAGAAGCATGCTCTAAACTCAGGGAAAAAAGCCCGGCAGGGGCAGTTCGGAAGGGGCCGGGGAGGGGCAAGCGAGGCCCCATTTCATCGTCCTCGATTTGGGGGTTGCCAGGGTCGGGCTGTGGAGCCTCGAGGCCTGGAGAGTCCGAGGGGTCAGCTGGGGTCCGGGCTGGGGTCAGAGGGCGGGCAAAGGCACCCGGGGCCGGAAACCGGCGCGCACTCGCCTCCTGCTGCCGCCTCTTCAGGCCCTCCCGGCGGCGGCTCCGGCCCTGCAGCTCCTTCACCAGCTCCTCGCTCTCGGCCAGCAGCCGGCACTCCTCGGCGCTCCGCTCCGCCGCCGCCTTCTTCAGGATCCGGGACACCTGCGGGGGGAGGGGGCCCCGACGGCCGTGAGGGGGAGCGCGGCCGAGCCGCGCGCTCCCGAGGGGACGCCCCGGGCCGTGCCCGGCCTACCTGGCGGAGCCGGTTCCGCTGCTGCTCCTCCCGCAGGATCTTGTCCCTTTCGGCCGCTTTCCGTTCAGAGCGGCTCAGGCCGCCGGCGGCCATCGCTCCCCTAGGCAACCGGCTGCGGCCGCTTCCGCCCCCGAAGTGAGCGGCGCGCCTGCGCAGCTGAGCCTCCGGCCCCGCCCCTCGCTCCTCCCCGTTTCACCGGGCTCTGCCCCTCCCTCCCCGGCACCCCGCCAAAGAGAGAGGCAGGCGGTGGTCTCTTTAAAAGGTTTTTATTGATCATATACAAAATAAAGAAAACCTTATATATCACAAACATACAATATATACAGCAATAAATACCCGGGGGGCCCGGCCCCGTGCCGCCCCGCCTGGACAATAATTTAGCAATAAATACTGAGCTGGGCTGGGGGAGGAGGCACCCAGGGGTCGACACTGGCTGCCCCGGACTCCCCCACCCGTACCCAGACCCCAGCCTTGCTCGCTTCAAATCTGTAAAAAACCCCAAAGCATATTCCAAGGTGGCTCGCCTATATCCGCTCCTAATGGCTTCAGCCCCAGGCAGAAACCCTTGCTCAAGGCTGCCTCCTCTCCCCCCAACCCCACCCCACTCAAGGCCAAACGCAAGGAAGCGGCAGAGCCAGGCGTACCAGGGGCAGCCTTTGTCTCGCCGCTGAAGTGCTCAGGATGCTGCTCTGCCCCCATTCCCATCTGGTAAAGGCTTAAGAGCAAGGCCCGCTGAGGGGACGGGAGGAAGAGGTGATGCTGTGGGGCAAAGTCCCCTCTAAGGTGCCAAATAGGGATCACAGCACCCAAGATGGGAAGCACCCACCGTGGGAAAAGGCTTCATTGAGGACTCATGGACCCCTCCCTGCCCCTCCCACCACTCCCAACCAACCCAACTTGGTCTCCTAGAGTTTTGGGTGGCTATGGCTGCTGCAAAGATGGGATGGGGATTCTGATACTGGCAAACACAAATGAGCACACACCCAGACACAGGCAGACAAGCAAGGGACAAGTGGAAAGCTCTCTCTAGTGCACAGCCCAGCCTCACCTTCCCCACTATGGGCTTTCCTCTGGACCCTCTTCGGGGTCTCAGCTGTGCCCTTAGTAATCTCCATCTACTTACTCCCAAGCCACTGGAAACTGACAGGAAAGGAAGAGCCATAAACTATTATTCAGTGGCTTCTGGGGAAAAAAATCGTTAATGTGTCAGTTCCTTCCAACAAACCACAGTCTAAAAAAGTAACTCAAAAAGTCCCAGTGCGGAAACTGTGCTGCAGGCTGAGGCCTCACACTCCCCAGCCTGTGGAAAGGGAGCTTTGACCATTCCCAGCTGTCACAGAGGAGCTATCCAACATGATCTTACCTCCCATAGCAGTCTGTGGCCATAGAGCCATAGAGCCAAGCACTAGGAAAACTTAAGCAAACGACTGACAGACATTCCTGAATCATGAATAATAATAGCAACAATAACTAAACTGAAAAACGGATTGTCGAGACAATACATTTGGAGGCAGGGAAACGGGAAGAATCTAAGACTCCAGGAAGCACCACACACCACACAAAATAAGTCACATTTCTACACAAATGACAACACATCCCCTGGAATAGCAGCAGCCAGTGGCCCTTGGAGTGTATCTGTTCTGGAGCTAGGGTCCCTCATTCAAGAGTGAACCTATTCTTCATTCCACAGATTAATTCAGAGGCTTGCTGTGAGCCCCTTGAAGTGGACTGAGAGGGGTTTAGAGCAGGGTTAGGAGGACGGGAGAAATACACATCATGGTATTACTTTGCAGGTGAGTTTGGAAGAATTGGCCCCAGATGAAGCCCTTGATTCATTATCAAGAAAATTCAAAGGAGAAAAAAAAGGAACACAACACCCTCACAGCAGGAAACTTGAACAAATGAGGACCAGGAAAACACAAAACACCCACACGTGGACACAGTATCTATTCTAGAGAAACCAAGGTGAAGGACAAGGAGCACCCATGAAAACAGGGTGACCCCTCAGATCTGGCTGGGATGGGAGTGGACAAACTCCCCTCAATCTGGGGAAAACATTTCCCCAAATGTGTCAAAAGAAAGGAAGCATGAATATCTTGATATGTCACAACTCCAGGAACAGCAGCACTAGACAGGAGACAAGTACTCTGGTTTGGGCTCAAACATGCAGAACAAGCCTCTTCTCCCCTCAATGGGGATTAAAAATCCAGTCTTACAGACATCACTCCCTGGTTCTGCACATATCTTTCTCCCTGCCTCATAAAGTCCTTCTCCTCAGTGCCCAAGCTGAGAGGTCCAGAGAACTATTCAGGTACAGCCCTACAGCTAAGGATAAAACTGGCAATTGCATTTAAAAAAAGAAAAAAAAGGGTCAGTCCCTGCCCTGCCCTGGCATGATGTAATGGAAGGAATGCTAAACTTAGAGTCAGGAAGACCTGGGTTTAAATCCTGCCTCAGGCACTTACTAGCTATGTGACCATGGGCAAGTTATTTAACCTCTCTGGGCCTCAGTTTCCTCATCTGCAAAATGGGGGGGTTGGATATGATGACCCCTGAGGTCCTATCCAATTCTAAATTTGTGAGCCTATGCGATTTTCCTCCCTTGTCTCTCCAAGGTCTATACTAGACCAAAAACTCTCTTTTGAGTACCTTTAGTGATTTTTTAACCCTGCTGACGGCCAATGTGAGCTGTTCAATAGTGTGGAAGAAAGCAGATCATCACAGGTTCACTTAGAAGTTACTTGGATCAAAGCTGGTGAATTTTTCCCTGGCCCAGCTTATAATGTGCAAGTTTCAGAGTAAACATAGCCAGGAGGGGTAATTCAACCCTTCCCTCCCTGCAAGAGGTAACCCCCCCCCCCCAAGTCTTTCCTCCATCTCAAGGAATAGTCTAGCCACACCTTCATGTAAATATAATGCCTTCAGCAAGAACCATTTTTCATCTCGAATCTAGTTTAAATAGCCAGTAAGGTGAGAGGCTTTGCATTTTCTTTTACTGGTTCTTCCCTTACCCTGAACAGCTTAGTCTAGCTTAGTCTGTAGTACTCAAACAACCCAATGGGAAAAAGTGGACGATGCCAGTATTGCCAGTTAGGGCTAACTGCCCTCCTTCAAAGTGGGCATTTATATAGCTGGGCAATCCAGTTACTGTTCAGACCCCCTACCCAGACTCGTCCCTTTTGGACATAACACTAACAAGAGCTTGCTGGGCCAAGATAGGCGGATCAGCTAGCTCTGCTGGTGAGGCCAAGACAGGGTATTTGGCTCAATTCCAAGAGGGAGAATTCTCTGAAAGTTGAGTGGCCAATCTCTGGAAGACACAAAGACCAAAAAAGGGGAAGAGGAAGGATTCAGGTCAAAAAGCTGCCAAGATGTTCGAGGGTGGTGGCACGGGTTGGGGGGAGTGGATGGAAGAAGGAACTAGATAGAGCACGAATGATTGTTTGGCATCAGGTGAGCCTTCTCACCAGGCCTCCCAAAAAAGGCAGAAGTGAGGAAATGTGTTGTTTTACATACGTCCATACCACAGAACTGGAGGGAATATATACAAATACCCCTTATGGAACCTCTCCATCACTGACTCTGTTCTGGGATAAATATGGGATAATTTTCTGCCCCAGATTCAAGTTCTGACAGATGTCTGGCCAGAGGGCTTCAGCCTCAAGCTTCATATGTAGCCCCTTCATTTGAAGAATAGGAACAAAGTAGTGGCCAGATTGGATACCAATTACAGCTTTCATCATGTCAGGGAAATAATGAGGAAGACAGCCAGGAAGGACAGTTAAACTATACCCCAAATTTATCCTTATGGCAACTCCTTGGTCCCTGAAAGGCTATCATCCCAGGATACAGGGAGGAGAACGTGGAAGCTGCAAGGATGACTGTCTGTGCAGACAGCCCCTGAAGTTATCTCTTCTGCCACGGACTATCAGAAGACCGAGGCATAGAGGAAAAAAGCCAAGGTGTCTATTCATGAGTGATGAGAATGGTCCAGCCCTACATCTCATCAACATGATACATTCTATCCAAAACCAAAGCCAAATCTTTGCCAGCCCTAGAGAGTATTTATTCTGGCCTTTGGTGTTTTGCCATCAGGGGACTCAGGATGGATTAGGAAGGGAAGAAGGCAGAAGGAGGGGAGACTGGGTAAGCATAGATCCTGCATCCTCCATATAAGTGCTGCACTAGAAGCTCTGGACAGCCTGTGCTGGGAATCCAGAAAAAAGCAAAAAGCAAAAACAAATCCAAAAAACAAACACAGAAAGAACAGACACAAGAGTGACACCCACACATCAAAGGTCACCAGAAGCACCAGCACGCTACCGCCGCACAAGACCTCACCAGGCACGGACGACACCACGGCCACCGGCAAAGAGACGGAAGCAGAAAGGGCAAAAGAGTAAGTCACTTTTGGTACAATTGCAAAAGAGATATCAAAGAACGTTAGGACTCGCCTTCTGGTCGGTTTTGTGGTTAGGCTTTTTTTTTTCTTTTTTTTTTAAACTAAGTTTTATAAATAATGTCTGATAACTCTGTGTTTATAAAAACTAAACTCCAACAGCCACAGAGAATTGTCCAAAGAAAGGATTTACAACAAAGGATTTTTTTCCCCAAGTTCCTCTCTCTTTTTTTAAATTAACAAAGTTTCTAGGATCCTTTTTTTTTAACCTTTTCCATTTCTATGGTCAAATACTCCTCCTATTCTGTGTTTTTAAAAAGACAGTTTTATAAATACTCTGCAGCTTTTTCTTCTTTAGTCTTTAAACTTATATAATTTAATAGCTTCTTCAAAGGAACTTTTCTCTTTTAAATAAAGGACCATTTAACCACACAAATAGGTTGTGTAAACAGTGACACAGGACCCATTGCTAAGACACACTGTACACACCCTTCAAATACGCTCACAACTAGTGATTTTGGTCTTGTTCAGTGCAACGTGTCAGGCACAAAAGCCGTGGCTATTGACTCACAGCCACCATATGACACCCCATCCTCCCCCCAGGACCTCCCATCACCTCCCTCACCAACCAGGGAAGCACCACTTCACTCTACCAGTCTCACTAGGACATTCTGCACTTTCCCCATCAGAACAAGGTCTGTCTGTCCCCACAATGCTGAGCTATTCAACTTGGGTTTGTCTATAACAAACCACTCCAGACAGAACAATTCCCAAGGTGGATCCTAGCTCCCGACACTAGAGGTAGTGAGGACAGCAATCTGAGGTCTGGGAGGCAACCTGGGGCTCAAGAAGGGACAGGTCCCATCCTCTCAAACCGGAACCTCCCCTCCCCAGAGACAAAGGCGTCCTAGCACACTCTCTCTATGCCAGCAGGGGCACATTGGGACTCCATGTCCACATGGCCTTGGTACCCAGAGGAAGGAAGGGGGCCACCCCATGTCACCGCCGCACCGACCAATCCCAACGCACAAGACACATGACGATAATGATGAAATCAAAGGGGGCTCAGCCCGGCACCCCCGGGGTGGGAGGTTGTGCTTTGCAGGGAAGAGGTGGGAGAAGAGAAGAAGGAAGAGAGGTGGGAACAGGGCTGTTGAAATTGCCTTGTGCCTAACCACCCCACATATACCCGCCGCCGCCGGGGAAGCATACACACATGTGTCACTACGACCGGGCGTCCGTTTTCGACTTCACTATTGTGATGACACTGGTGGCGGCCACTTTGCCAGGGACAAGGGGCCCCATGCTGGCAGTGATGGGGCCCCGGGCTGGAGTCACGGGGCTTCGAGCCACCGTCCTCGCAAAGTTCTGTAGTGCCTCATACTTGGAGCGGAGGGCGTCCAGCTCCAGCTTCATGCTGGCATTCTCCGAGGCTAGCTTCTCCACCTCCTGCTGCAGCTCTGCCTTTTGTTTCTCCAGCTCTTCCTTCTGGGTGACCCTCTTCACTCTACAGCTAGCAGCATAGCCTCGGTTTTTAAGTGTGCGCCGACGCTGCTTCAGCTGAATGATCTCCTCCTTTGATAGGCCCCGAAGGTGCTGGTTCAGCTCTCGTACAGACATTGTCACCAGCTCCTCATCTGTCAGGCTGGTGCCATTCTCACCTGGCTCCCTCTTCACCTAGTGGGGTAATTAAAAAAAGGTACAATCGTCAGCCCCAGGGACTCATTCCCCATCATCAGACACAAATCACATGCTGTTCTCCTTCACATCCTGCTCCTTACCCTTCCACCACTCACCTTCAAGGCCTTATTTCCTTTACTGGGGGTCGTCATAACCTGGGAGCCACGACAGTTGCTCTCTGTAAGGAAGAACAGTTGCAGAGTTAAGGGGATGATTCTAAGACCTTTCCTTCTACCAAAAAGAGAACAACTTAACTCTCTCTGTTCAGTTGACCCCATCAAACCACAGTTGTTCCTCTTTTCCCTGACCCATTTAGAGAGGTTTACATAGCTATGATTTCTAAGATCCCTTCTACATTTAAAAATTCTTATGCCCATACCACAGTTTCCTATTCTTCAAACTGGCTGGGGCTACTTCCTTACTATCACTCCTAGTCCAGTTTCCAAAACACCTAAGCCTGAGATAGTCCCCACACCACAGCAGATCTCAGTTTGGTTCCTCTAAAGTTGTGCTGGTCCTCTGCTCCTCCCCTTTGGGAATCGGGGCTGGGGCCAGGAAGGTTAGATGGGTATAGAAGGAGTGAGAGAAGACAGATCAAAGAGAAAACAAGAGAAGTGGAGGTAGAGATTAGGAGGAAAGAGATCGGGGAGGGGCCAGCCTAGAAGGAAGCCAGGAGCTTTAAAAATAACTTGGCAGCATCAGAGAGTGGCTGTTCTTAGCGAGTCACGCTGACTCAGCACATCACTTTGCTCTCCCTCACCCACTTTGGCAATCCCAAAGCCCAATCAGCCAGCAAGGCCCGAGGGACCCAGACAGTCTGAGTCCATAAGCCTGGGTCCATATGTCAGGGAATGGAACATCAGTCAGCAAAAGGCATCCTGCCTGACAGGTGAATGAAGGAATGCACACCTGAGATCATTCCTTAAACACCTCTCCTACTCCATTGAAGGCTGGCTCCTGAAGGTGAGAAGGGATGTGGGAAGAAAGCCCCACCTTTGAGATCCTTTATTTTAACACAAAATAACCATGTCAGTGGCCCAGACCAAATTCTGCCTGGTTTTCAGGGAAGTGGAAATTGAAAGTTTTCTACTATAGCCTTTGAAGAAGTAAGCTCTGGACAGAGTTTAGCGTAAGGATGATCCCTGACTCCATTAGCCTTTGTACAGAAAGTGGACCTCACAAGACCAAGGTTCAGAGCTGGCAGGGACCTCAGAGATCATCTAGTTCTTACTATGAGGAACTTGAGGTCCAGAGAAGTTAAAAAGTGCTTTTGCCTGGGGTCCCATAGATAGTATAAATTTGGGCACGTCAACTTCTGTACTGTGCCACACTACTTGCCAATCTTCGGCTACCTCCCAGCAGAGGCCTCTATGCCCATCTGCCAGGCCCCATTTGTTCATGGGGTAATAGTCCCAGCTCCTGTGGCTTTGGGTTGCAGAATCTTAAGAGCTCCCACTTCCCACACACAGTTTCACTGCAACCAGGGTATTTCACAAGGCCCACCTAGCACTAACCACTCAGGGGCCCTGCTTGGACATAGGCGAGCCAAAGGCTGTGCCATTTGGGCTACTAATTACTCTCCGAATCGTATCTGCTACACATTTATGCCCAACTCCTGCTGGGAATAAACTTCTCACAGTGCCAAAGAACACAGCAAATGGATCACAGGCAGCAGAAGCTAACACCAAATAGCTTGTCATTTGACAGCCTTTTTTAATACTAAGCCTTTTTTTTTCTCCTAAGAGAGAACCTAGGCACTTTTATTTTCACCACCATGTCTCAGCATGCCTTGACTCCTCCCCACCATAACAGTACAAACATCTTTTGCCTACATCAAGATTTATACTTTTTAAAGCATTTTCACATTTATTATCTTCCTCTAGCCCTCAGAACATCTTGGACTTGTCTGCAAGTCCTTAGGTCCTCCAAAGTTCAAGTCTCTACCTACTTCCCTCTTCCCAACCTTCATACCAATCCCCAACCCCAAGCTCTACTCAGGGCTGGTGAATGGTTCAGACTTAACAGGGGAAAAAGGGTAATAAAAGAGAGCTATTTGTTTTCATGAAGTTTTCTTAATTCTAAATTTTAAGATGTACCATTCCTCACGCTCAGGTCAAAGAAGCTCTTAGTCTAAGGAGAGAGTTTCAATCGGAAAGATTAGGTTATGGAAAGAGGTGTGTGTAGGGAAAACAAAAAGAAATTTTAGGAAGAGACTAGAAGCCTAGGTAAGGGAAAGGCATACTAGGACTAATTAGGCATTCCTTCTACGATGAAACTACTTTGGGGTCAGAGGAGAATCAAATAACTAGGTCAGAGAAAAAAGCTCCTTGGAGAAAGACACCTGGGTAAGGAAACATTATGTCAATCTGACAAAGCTCCTGGAGTCACAGCCAAAATCAGGCCTGCCTCAGGACTGATAGGAGTTGCAGAACAAGGTCAAAGGACAGAGAGAGGCAGAATCAGGACTCCTAGGCCTATATTGGTGAATTATTTCTTTAATGGAGACATGAAATATCTTAAAGCTCCAAGGGAACTTTGATCCTATAGTCAGCACTAGTCCTTTCTGGAAATGCTGGCCCCAAGACCCACATAAACTGGATGAGAATAAGGCCTCCTAGTTTTCCCTTGCACACAATGAGGCCACATTCCTAACTTTATCTGGGGTTTGAAAGACAGTACAGACTGGACTCCATGAAAAGGAAAAAAAAGACCAGTTTGGACGCTGTCCTTAGTGCCTCCCACAAAAAGGGCAAAAGACAGGTACCCTGCAAAACCCTCTCTCCCTGACCTGCTGACTGCTCAGCACAATGACGACTCCTTGAAGAAAGATCACACTGAAAAATGCCGAGTGTGACGGCTGGGAGCTGAAAAGTGCCTCCTCAACAGATTTCACCCTAGCACAGAAGGCCTGAACTCAGCACAAGTACAGCCAATCCTCTTCTAATCAAAGGGGTGTGTGTGTGTGTGTGTGTGTGTGTGTGTGTGTGTGTGTGTGTGTGT